ATTTTGAATCACAAGTTGTACACCTGAAATTAACACAATATTATGTGTCAACTATACTTCCTTTAAAAAAAAGTCAATACATATTCACTGTAGGAAATAAGGAAATACAGAAATGATAAAAAGGAATCACCTATAATTCCCATTCCCTCAATACAACAAATGTATTTTGGTGTTTTTCCTTCCCTTATTTTTGTTTTATAACACAGGTGCATTTGTAACATATGGGCGGTTTGTGACCTGCTTTTGTTTCACTTATTACAGAACTACCTTTGTCTATTAATAACAAATTTAATATCAAGCATATTTATCATAATGTAATTAAATGATCCCTCTGGTAGGTGTTTAGACTTTGGCCAGTGTTTACACTGTTCTCTGCACAGTCACCTAAAAAAGTGCATAGAGAATGTCCACATTCAGGAAGAGAATGTGGAAATCTCAAGAGGGATCCAGATCGCTGGCTCAAAATGGAATCACCTGCAAGGACTTGCGTACAAAGAGTCTACGCAGCAACTCTACAGGAAACGGAGGTGGGAAGCTCAGCAGACACAGATGGTCCCTGCGGCCCAGGCCTGGAAGCAGGCACCACCTGGCAAACACAGGAGGCCGCTCCCGGGCCTGCATCACTTCTTCTGGCCCGCGACAGCCACGTTGGCAGAACGCACAGAGCCGACCTGAGCCAGCGGACCAGAGGGTCAGCCTTTGCCTGGCACCTAACACAGCGGGACCCGCCCCGCTCCAACGCGGGCTGCGCTGGCTGGCGCCAAAAGCACCAGAACAGAGGCGGTGTGAGGCAACCCGGGGATCCCTGCCAAACCACACGGTTCAGGAGGAAGAGCAGGACAGCACTAGGATGGATACTTTCTACTGCAGAAAGCTGGCCGCTCCCTGAGAAAGGAGGGCGGCGGTACAGAGTGAGGGACGCCTAAGACAGCAGCCCCCCCCCGGAACACACGGGAGCCCTGTGTGTGGGGGTGCTCTCTACGCCCAGTTAGAACACACCAGCTATTTATTAACTTCCCCAATCCATTAAGGGGCCCCTGCAGCCCAGCACCCCCGGGCCGATGCAGTAGCCTCCAGTTGTCTCAGCCCGTGCTTGTTTCTGTTTCAGACCCAGACTGTGTGCTCTGGGCAGAAGCCCAGCAGGGCAGGAGCCACCGAAGGAGGGTGGGGAGAGCCTCCAGGCCAGACTCTGCAGGGCTCCCCGGCCCTCTTGCTGCAAACACAACAGCCTCTGTGTTTACCAGCCTTGTGCTGCAGCGTAAATCCTCAGTTTTCGTCTGTTTCATCACTACCCTGGGATGTTCTATCCCGGTTCAATTGTTTCTGGCTAGGCATACAGCTCCCAGGCCCTGCTGCTGCCTACTCACGACAAACATTGGTGACAAGGGACTCCTAGGGTAGTGCAGGCCATCTGTTAAATGGCCACAGAGTGCATGGGGTCATGCAAGCTGGGAATCCCCAATCACACACTGACTAGGGAGCCGGCTCTGACACATGGGGCAGAAGCTCAGCCTTCAGGTCCCTGGGGACTGAACTCACACATTCCTTCAATGACTACCCCTGTTTCTCTACCTGGTGCTATTTTTATAGCATCTGGAAGGAAGGATGGAAGGAAAGCAGGCAGGCCCCTTGCCTGCCCAGGGGTTTCCAGGGTCAGAGTGTGGAGGAAAGGCCTGTTAAGGGAGAAGGCAGGGAGACGGCTGTGACAGTTACAGAAAAGAGGGCTCCCCTCTGCTCAAAGGCAAGTATTGGCAAAGGTCATTCTTCTAGAAAGGCACAAACAACGACCCAAGTCCCTAAGAGAAGCAGGGCACAGTAAAATGCACACAGAACTGAACCACCAAAAAGGAGAAGACATCAAATTATTTGTAACCATTTTACAGCAGGACATAGAACATCTTCTACTTACATAAATGGGTTTTGTGATTTCTCTTTAAAGCAGACCCCAAAGCAGACCAGAAGAAATGGGTTAAGTGGCACACCTACGTGTTAAAATTCAGTCTCCGTCTCTCCGGAACCCCCAGCTGGCCTGGTTCCAGCAGAAATGCTAACTGGATCATCCCCAGGAGACAGCGGATCTGTTTCATCTATTTCAGTCGTGCACAAAGGGGATACATACACATTCTGCACGATTTCCCCTGGCGCTGTGGCTGGCCAGCAGTCTGGCCAGCACCTGGGGCCTCCAAAGATGCAGTCTGCAGGGGAACTGTGACTCTGACGGCCCACTCCTTGGGGAGGGGAGGAGTGGGGGCTGCTACCCACCGCTCTGACGGGGGACACTGGATCCTGTGACAGGAATCCACGCGATTTTGTCTACAGTTACCAGGAGGCTGCTCACGATGAGAAATCATCCTTTTCTCTTTCTGTTACCACAAGACAGGGGTGCTTCCTGGTAGCAATCTCTCAACTCCCCTGGCTCCAAGGGTGCCCAAGGGTGCTAAAGGGATGAGGTGTGTAAATCTCCGAAGCACCTCTGAACACCCGTGAGGAAGGTGCAGTGAAAGGTGTAAGGGACAAAATAATGGCTGATGACGTAAGGCGGAGAGATGAGTTAACAATAAATTATACATAAACTGGGAGATTCTGTGGCATTCAGAATGTTCTAAGGGCAGGATGATTCTTTCTACCAATCTGTCATCCTTAGGAGTCAGTTACTTGTTCAATTTTTTCCCCTCATTCGTGGTTGTCTAATCAGTACTAGAACCTCTGTCAGGGGGAAACACCAAGGAGTGGAAGGAAGCCCAGAATCTTTCTGCTCCGCCTGAGTACCCTTTGGCTCACAGGATTTCTCAAACCCAAGGCCTACATGGATTCTTTTGTTAAATTCAGTAAAAACTAATTTTAACATTTTTCTTTTAAAAAGTGCATACTTTATATAAAAGACACAGAAAGATGCTCAATATGGTTAGTCCTTAGGGAAATGCAACTCAAGTCCACAGTGAGATATCACTTTACACCTACCAGGATGACTACAATCAAAAAGACAAGTGCTGGTGAGGCTATGGAGAAACTGGAACCGTCATGTGTCACTGGCGGGAAGGTTAGTGGTGCAGCCTGCCTGGAAAACAGGCAGCTCCTCAAAATGTTCAATGCACAATTACCATATGACCAGAATTCCATTCTTATAGGTCCATAACCAAAGAAACTTGAAAACATACACTCAAACCAACGCATCTGAACACAAAGGTTCAAAGCAGCATGTGCTGCTGGTACAAGTGCATGGGAAGATACCTGGCATGGTGTTCACCCAGTATTAATGGTAGTTATTTCAAGGTGGCAGAATCTGAAGATCTTCATATTATTCTTTTTTTTTTTTTAAAGATTTTATTTATTTATTTGACAGAGAGAAAGATCACAAGTAGGCAGAGAGGCAGGCAGAGAGAGAGGGGGAAGCAGGCTCCCCGCTGAGCAGAGAGCCCGATGCGATGCGGGGCTCAATCCCAGGACCCTGAGATCATGACCTGAGCCGAAGGCAGAGGCTTAACCCACTGAGCCACCCAGGCGCCCCAGATCTTCATATTATTCTGCATTAAAATCTTTATAATGAATACCTTCTTTTTTTTTCCCAGCAGAAAATCAGTAAATGATTTTCTTAAAAACAAAACAAAGTAGAAAAAGAAAGAGAGCAAAACCCCCAAGGCAATAATATATACAGGAGATTCCCTCACACCAGTATACGTTTAATACCTTTCTAATCAGTCTTTTATTTTAGTTTGGTTACCTCACCGCAGCCAGGATTCACCTCGCTTCCTTTAAACATGCAGGAAGTTGACAGAATTCAAAGGTGTCCCCATCTATATTTGAACCAGCTGTAAGCATCTAGCATTTTCCACTTCTTCCCACTGAACCAATCATATTCCTGTACTATGTTTCCTTCCTCCTTCCCACTCCCTCCTTCTTTCCTTCCCTGCCTTTTTCCTGGTCTGATGGGGCAGGATGAGTGAAAAGGTTAATTTTTTTCCCCTTTTTCATTTCAAATGCTACAATTCATCTGCTCTTATGTATACACATAGTTTTTTCCCTGCCCTTAGGCCATCTAATCTTCCTGTGACTACTGAGCACTGTTAACAAACATCTGTATTCTTCTGACATCCAAGCAACCCAAAACCTTCCCTATGTGTGCCAAGGTCCCTGCAGCCGCCAGCCTCAAGGGGTGGCTAAACAGAACCTTTACTGGTTCTGTCTCCAGTTTCATTGCACAGAGCTGGGTGTGAGCTCCATAGTGCCTTATAATTAGCCCCAAAGCAGCTGCTTTTCCAAAGCCTCACTTTGTACCTGCCACGACTGTCGATGTATATAAATATTAAATGCAAAAGGCACCATTAAAGTCACATTAAGTTTCTGGCTGAAGCACTGAGGCTTCGATATCCAAAGTTGAGATCAAGCTGTTGCCTTGGTGTTCTTTGTCTCTCTGGGCACTTGCTTTTCAGTGGGTGAAATCTTTCACCCACCTATGACTGTCACCTATGAGGCCACCTCTAATGCTGCTGTTTTCGCAGCTTGCACAAACCACACAAGTGTGTAAAATTTCATCTGCTCAACGACAGGCAGTCTGTCTGACCTCATTTCAGGGGGCGGTCAGGCAGCGAAGACCCCTGATCAGTAAGCTCCTAGTAGTGGCCGGGCAGCTGCGGAGGACTGACAATGGCCAGAAAGGGTCAGGAAGCAGTGCCAAAGCCGCCCCCGACCTTGGCCTTGTGGGGTGCAGGGGCTTGCCCAGGCTCTGAAGTCCCCACAAGCTGCAGGCCCGCTTTTCATATAAACAAATGCCTGGAACGATTCCCCCTGGCGAGGCAAGGATGAGAAGCATATTACCTCCATCACACATAGTGGCTTTTTTTTTCCTTTGCTAAATGAAATGTTTCTACCTTTTCAGTATAAAAACAGCACTTGCAAGCATTTAATACTTCAATTATGAAATGCACTTAGAGATGGCATTTGGCCTAAACCATTTATTGGGATAGCAGAGCAGTCCAAAACTTCAAGAAGCATGGACATACCTGTTTAGCTGCTGTGGAAGAGATGGCTTTTCGGTCCAGCAGGTTGAGTAGCTCAGCCAGTGAGGAAGGTGTCACAGGACTAGCAGCCCCCCAGAAAGGAGAGAAAATAAATTTACATTTCACACTGTCAGCATACCCATTTATGGTTATTGAGAAGCAAAGCACTTGATACTGTAGGTTTAAATAATTAAACCCACACCCAGAAATGGAAATAACGTGCCAACTGGGCTCTATTTATTTATTTATTTTGTATTTTAGGATATAACACATTTCGGTGACTAGCATTGTTTTTCTTTATTTTACTACTCAAGAATAATGGCTGTTTGGCAGAAGTTGTAGCAACAGACAACTGCTCAGTTTAATTAGTTAAAAAAAGGAGTGGCTGCAAAATTCATGAACCATGACAAGAGGAAAAAAAATACCCAAAACAAAACAACCCAGTAATTAAATATTTTCAACTGCAAGATCAGCCTAAAAATTACTTCAAACAAAAGAGCTAACAAAGCTACTTTTCTGAGTGTTTTTATGCAAATATAAGTTCTTTGTAATTGTAAGAGCTTTTCTTTAAGGGAACTGTCCATGACTGCCATCCCCTCCTTAAGTGGCCTTATAGGCATCTGCAGGGACTCTGTTTACCTCTCCTGACTCACAACACAAGGGCCCAGAATCCATCATACCCATACTTTTAGGATGTGACTTATTTGCCAAGATCCCATGATAAAAGAAGGCCAAGGAGCAACCAAACCCATAAAATGTCATTAATTCACATGAGGGGGTAGGAGTGTGTGGAGGGGAGGGGGAGTGCCTAGATTATAGTGAAAAGACAACAGTGAATTACACACTTCTTTAAAATATGTGATTTTGCTACTTTTAAACACACAGAGCAACGAGGCTAATAAAATGCTGTTTATCTGAGGTCATTAGGGGACTAGTTTTAAATAGATAGGAACGACTTATAAATAGCACATTAGTGTGAATGAAAGCTTCTGAAATGCTTAAGGCCAAGTGAAAACACCTTCTGTTTATGTCTTAGTTCTCATCAATCACAATTCATTTCTTTGTAAGCTCTTAGGTAATAAAAAGGAAACTGCCACGTAGCCCCCATCCAGTTTCCATGAATTCCTATACCCAGTGAGTGCAAGCAAGTTCACCAGCTCCTTCTTGCTGGATTCTGGTTCAAGTACAGTGAGGTCTCATTAGGGTTGTTCCCTCGAAGCAGCTGACACACAGAGGCAGACCATCATTCTTAAAGTCTTTGTTTATCCCAAAGTATGGATAAAAGGTAATTCCAAGTGGAAACTAAGTTTGGAGATTATCCGGTGTTATTAAGTTGGTATTTGGAACATCTGTGAACCACCCTTATTCAATCACAACAGGAAGAGGGGCAGGGAGCTGGAAATAAACCAATAAATCCCTTTTCCAACCTTCCACCTTACTGACAATAAAGAATCAGGTTGTTTGAAAAACACGTATTCCTGGGGTGTTCTGCAATCCTAGAAAATGCGGTGGCTAATCAGAGTGCAGACGGTAGGCAGAACTCATAATAAGCACTGGCGCTGGACTGGATTTCTAGAGCATGCAGAAAAGAAAAGGTCCCTTCTTCCACATGAATTGATGATATCAGGGACGTGGAGACAAAAGAACAGAAATAGAACACAACATAACTAAAAATACTTTGCCTTTCATCTGATGACCTTAATTCATTAGTTAAGGTCATAAAGGAACACTATGAAGTATTTCCATTGACCCAACAGCATTGGCGACTTCTCACTCACCTTTCTGTACCCACAAATGCTTGACACATTAGTTACTACTGACAAACAGTCAGTAGTATTTGTGTCACAGCACTCTTCCCACCAACAGGGAGAGCTATCCGGTATACTGCATACATTAATTCCAGATATGCCAGGGCTAACCTTGAGTGAGACGATGACAAAGATCAGTACCTGTCAGGCTGACTGCGAAGACCCCACTCATCTACGAAATAAATAAACCATCAGATCTGTAACATAACGGCAGCAGAAGCACAAGCTACTGATTTGCCACTGTCAGATAATGCTAGTTTCTGGACAGCGCATGTGTCTCCACTAAAGAAGAATCTGACATCAAGAGGCTTTAAGCTTTTGTGTGCCAGCCTCCAATCCCCTGAGGCCTGCGTACGTACAGAGGGATCTGTCCCACCTGCCAGCTTCCTCCAGTCCCCTGGAGCTCTTTCAGATCACGACTCCATCCCCAGCTTGGATTCTGGGAGTAGACCCTCTGCCACTTCTACATCCACACCCCCTAGTTCCCTCCCCACATCTGAGAAATGTGTGGCTCATCTCAATCCCCACGCTCGTTTCATGCCAAAAGGCCACCTTCTCTGCTTCTGTTGCAATGGGACACAGGAAGCCCCCGCAGGAAGACAGAGGAACCTGGACACCCAGGTGGCTCTTGCAGCTCAGTACTCCTTGTGTTCATCTCGATGGTTTCCCTGCACCCCTAGCGGGTGCCCCAACCCAAGCACCTGTTCCAGACAATCTCCTTCCCGGTTCCCTTCTTGGCACATGCCCTCACCTCTCACTTCATAAGGTTATCAGTTGAAGCAAGACCCAGGATTTTCTGTCGTGCCCTCTTCCTGCTGGTTCCATCAAACAAATCCCTTGATTCATACTTTTAATCCCATTACTTTCCACTCTTCCGGATCCCACTTGCATGTTTGTTTCCTCTCCTGGGGCTTTAATCATGCACCTTCACAAATGCTCAGATCTACCTGATTTTGAAAATGTCTTCAAGTGATCTTGGGAGTCACTTGCTTCTGCCTGGAATCTAACCTTACCTTTACCAATAAACATCTGGCATTAGTGGCTACTGTCTACCCTTGTGAGCACAGCCATGTGGCTACTAATCCTAGCCCTCTACGGAAGCTCTTATTTAAAAAAAAAAAAAAAAAATCACATCTCCTTTGCTTGTTGCAAGCATAACCGCTTTCCCCCAATCTGCTGCACCCCAATTCTGGGCTACATTTAAAGCCCCTTGTGAACCCCTTCTCCTTGGACCTCTGCATTCTCTTTCTTTTCCTTGACTGTCCCTCGTGCACTCCTGGCCCTTGTCCATATGGTTTTCTGCCTCCACCTCAGGCTGGCAGGCAAGGGAAGCCCATCAGTTCCCAAGACTGCCTCTGCTTCTTCAGGGCCCAGTTCTCTGTACCACTGGGCTCAACGACCTCTCACCAAACATGTTCTAAACTGGGGTCAGCAAACTTCTTCCGGGAAGTGCTGGAGGGCAAATATTTAAGGCCCCTTAATATTTGGGCCTTAAATATTTGGGCCACACACAGTCTCTGTCACATATTCGTTGTTTTGCTTTATGAGGTAATAGCTACTGTTTGCTCATGGGGCTGCCAGAACGATCTTGAATGGGCTCCAAACCTTGCAGCCCCACTCTTGGATGCTACTGCACATACCCCACCCCTGCCAGACTTCTCCTCCCTCACCTTCAGGCCCTCTTGGCTCAAAGCCCACCCTGGGTTGCGAGTCCCTCAGGAACTGCCGCCCATGGTGGACCTGGAAGTTCAGGGCACTCGACTGGACTGGACAACTGGATGGTGGCACCTGCCTAATTTCACTGTGAAGCGCCCACTCAGGGTATCTGTAATTGCCATGTTCTTAACTGAATCAAACCTGTCATTAACAGCAATTTAGAAGGAGTTAACAGAAAAACAACTTTCAAAGCGCCATGCTCAAAATAATTAAAAAGCTGAGTTCAACAAGAGCTTTTCTGGTTGGAGCCTTCAAACATCAGTCTTCTGTCAGGTCTTTCAAGATGAATGCTAATTTGCAAAATCAGCTCTTGCCAGCTTGACCTCCAGAGTGTCCCCTGCCTGGTGCCATCAGACGACAACTGCTAGCGCCGCGGCGACTGCCGTTCTCAGCGCTGGAAATGTTTGCTCCAGCAGCTGCGGTTGTTCATTAATTACTGTTTGGTCCGAGGTGAGGCTGGGGGAGCCAACAACGTTCTTTGAACTGCGTAGGAAGAGAGCTGCTACAGCTCGCTTTTGGATCCTCAGCCCTTGTTCTACAGAAACGGCGTAGCAGAACTGTTGCTTAGGCCCCCGGTTCCCGCTTTGGGAACAACTCCATACAGGTTTATTCAGAACTGGGTACCCTCTGGGTTCTTAAAACTCTAGTGCTTATGAATTGTTAGGGGAAATACCGGGGGCTCCAAGAATACTCCAAAAGCTGATTTACCAACCTCAGCACCGTCAGCAGCTACCACCATGGTGGACACACAAAGTCCTAACCTCAGACAGACATATAAAGATGCTGGTCTGAAAGTCAGGGGACTGAGATGGAGCAGCCTGGGGTCTGTCACCTTACCGTAGGTCAGGGCCTCGACTTCCTCGTCTGCTAAAGGACAGTGCTGAACCAGAAGTTGTCTGAGGTCTCTGCCGGGACAACAATTCAGTGACTCCAGGCCAACACAGTCCATCACAGCCAACAACACGGAACACCATACATTTAAAGATCAGATCTAGAGGGGCGCCTGGGTGGCTCAGTGGGTTAAAGCCTCTGCCTTCAGCTCAGGTCATGATCCCAGGGTCCTGGGATAGAGCCCCGCACTGGGCTCTCTGCTCAGCAGGGAGACTGCTTTTTCCTCTCTCCGCCTGCCTCTCTGCCTACCTGTGATCTCTGTCAAATAAATAAATAACACCTTAAAAAAAAAAAAGAAGAAGAAGAAGAAGAAGATGATCAGATCTAGAACTCTTCCGAAAGCTCAAACAGCATCCTGGAGCCTTCCTAGCTTCTTCTGGCCAACAGGCGTTCCCTCTTCTCTGCTCCCCCATACTATGGAGAGCTGTGGAACAGAAGCACAGCCTTCTGCCTCGGACTTAAAGGCTGCCGCATGAGTCTAGACCTCCCCAGGAGGCAGGGGGCTCTAGGGAGGCAGCAGGCTCTAGGGCCAGGGTGGGGGCTTCCCCGTTGAACCACGGGCTGTGCCCAGAGCGGCGCTCTGCCACACGCGTTGGAGACACGGCTGACCTCCCCGCTGACTCCACATCCTCATATTCCAGGCAGTCTGTCAGGCAGCTGTGCTTTCCTGCCATCTTCCACTCTCTGCTTCCCCAGGCTGCGCTGCTCCGTGGTCTAAGAAGGTGCAGTGCATTGGCATTCCCACCCTTGGCTCTCCACAGGTATCGTCCAGGCCTCTGCCTCACCAACTCCTCCCCCTTCTTTAAGGCTTTGGTACAATTGCTTCTCCTCCATAAACCCTTCTGGATGACTCCAGTCTTCACGGAATGGCTGCCATGTTTTCAGTGTAAAGAGTGGAGTTTCTGAAGAGGGGCCAAACCCGAAAGGACAGGACCGATAGACATAAAGGCAACAGGTGCCAAAGGAATCCAGGAGGCTGAGGGTGGCCCTTGTTTACGTACTGAACACGCCAACCCAGCGAAGAGAAGGAAACGAACGCAGAGGGCCCACTCTGTGCCAGGCACTGTGCAATTCCTCTCAAAACCCCTTGCAGGCAGGTACTGCTGCCATTTTTGTTCATAGTGAAGCACTGGAGGGCCAGAGAGGGGAACTCATCCAAGGTCACTGCTGGTAAGGAGTCAAGTAAGGAAGTGCATGGATCCCACGTGGCCACATTACGCTATACATATACACATCGCAAGCAAGAGGCTGAACACGGAGTTGGCACTGGACAGCGAGACCCTCCTTGAGCAAACACATTTTTGGAATCATGTATCTGTGTAGGCTCGTTCCCCTCCTCCGCTCTCCATGCCGTGGGATGCTGCTGAGACAATGGCATGCTGGCTGACAGGGGGCACCACCTTCCCTTGCTGGGGCCCAGCCACCTGCCTGGGGGTCCTAATGAACACTCTCTCCCTCCCTCCCCATACTGCAATCTGCCGCTCGCTCTTTCCTTCTTAAAACCTGCCGTTCCTTTGGCTTTTGTGACATTCTGTCCTAGTTTTTCTCTTCTCTGCCATTTCTTCTCAGCTGCCTCCTCCTCTGCCCACGCTTCTCACTTAAGATTGTCTAGAGCATCTCCGGCTCCTTCCTCGGCCGTCCTATCAGGTCATACCCTCCCTGATTCTCTTCTGTTTCAACAACTTCAGGTACCATCTATAGGTCGCTAAGTCCACGTTCTGCCTATTATGGACTACTTGCATTCCCAGAAGTAGGATGCACCTGGACTCACCTCGAAATTTTTACATGGGCTGTTCCCTATACTGGAACCCTTTTCCCTCCTAGATTTTGCCTGACTAACCTTACTCTTTCCTTCTTCAGGCCTTAGCTTGGCTGTTACCGTCCCCTTCTCTAGAGCACCTAGCTCACTGTTTTGTCATCACCGGCTTCTGGACTGTCAGCTCTGAGAGGAGGGACTACATCTGTTGTGCTGACTGGTCTTCCCCATGTTTACCACGAAGTCTAAATAAACATGTGCTGAATAATGAACAAATGAGAACTCCAGGATTTCTACCTCCGAGATCTCTCTCGTCAGCGGTAGATCATATATCTGACTGCCTCCTGGTTATCCCCATAAGGGGAATGTCTGTCCTACCGGCAGCCCAACTCAGCATGTCCAAAATGGAACCTGGCATCGTGCCCCGCCCCTTCCCTCTGAACTCATTCCTCCTCCTCCACTTCTCGCTAGGCTCAAAACCGCTGCCCTCCATTTAACTCCACTGCCCAAGTAAGAACTGGAAGTTGTGCAACATGAGATAATTGTTCTCCATCTACCTGCGCTCAGGCCCATGGCATTTCTCACAGGCACTCTAGCAACTGGCTTTCTTGCTTCTGGTCTGTTCTTCCAAACTACTCCTCCAAGGTGAAACTGGAATGGGCTTGAGATCGAAGGCTTTGAGAGGTACTGACAAAAGTGTTTGCACGGTGGCCTCTGGTGGTCTCTGTGGCTTCTTCTCGAGCTTTCTTGCTTGGCCCTTTTACACTCGGAGTTTCTGGGTTTCCTGAGCCCCTAACACCTGCTAGCCTTGAAGTTTCCAATGGCCACTCTGTTGCCTGGAATGCCCTCACCCCTCCCATCACCTGGCAACTCCTGCTAGGTCTTCAGGGCCTTGCTCCAGCATCCGCTTCTGAGGGAAACCTTTTTACCTTCCGGCCTCAGGTCAGGCCCCCTCTGTGTTCACTCAGGGCACCCCCCACGACTCCGGCCCAACAGGATCACACTAAGGTGCCTGCCCGTTTTCTTACAGGCCCATATCTCCCACCAGCTTGTAAACTCCTTGTCTTACTCATCTTCAGGCCTGCAGCCCCAGCACAATACAAAGGACAGCACAGAGAAAGACCTGAACAAATGGACGAAATTTCAGATGTGAGGGAGGACAGCTTTAGAATATGGACTTCACAGGGGGCGTGTGTGTCTTGTCAGGAGATCCTGAGGGGGAAGAGGGAGAACAAAACACTGGCCTTGTCCTACTTCTGGACACAGAGTTCATCATAAAGGAAAAAAGAATCTCCAGACTCACCTCTCATTGACAGCAAGGTTCTGTTGCTTTAAAAAACCCAGAAAAATGTTGAGGACCCAACTAGTTACTTTTTTTGGCTCTGCCCTAGTTTCTTTTATCACATTTTGGAAGAACTCCAGTAGGCCAACTTCATTCTGTAAAGAAAGAAAGAAAAAAAACACACACATATATATATATATATATATATGAAGTCTCCCCCAAAATGAAAGATCAGCATTCTGAAGTGAAATCTGAAACTGTCACCCTCTGCCTCCTCTGACACATCTACCTGTACTTTCCTGAACATGGAAATGTCACCAGAAAATTGTGATCACTTTCAGTAAACAGCAAGTATCTGACTTCTACCACTGTCACTGTGCATTCTTTTTAATCTAGCATTTTCTCACAGGAATGAACATACGTCAGAGAGCCTGGCTTGGTGAACCAGAGTACTATGAAATCCACTCTCCCCCAAACTCATCTGCCCTCTCCCTGTCAGCCTTGCGTACCCTATGACCTTAACCCTTGAGCTGCATCCTTTATCCTTGGGCCCATGATGTTTGGGCAGAGTTTCCTGTCCTTTCTCTTTCCAGGTCTATTCTCTGCTGGAAGTCCCAAGTGATTGTGAGACTAAAGAGGCAGGAAAAGAAGCAAATCAAGGGGGAACAGATGGAATATTCTACCTCTGAAAAATCAAAAGTGCATCATAACTGTATTTATCTTCACATCGTCCCAAGAAGTGACAGAAATGGGTTTCAAATGTTTTCAAAATGAGTAAGAACCCAGGGATCCACTCAGACCACAGGACTGATGGAGGCAGCAGTGGCTTCTCGGCTTTCCAAGCCAAACTAGACACAGCCTAACCCTGTCTCTCCTCTTGCTCCATGAAAACAATCATCAAGGGGACTTGAGGAAGACTCCAGTATGTCTCCCCTCTCGATGGTCACCTCTCTGAGTCAGGGGCCATTCTGTCCGGTTCACTGTGTAACTAGAGCGAAAGTGCTGGGCGATGGCAGCTACTTGGTGAGTATCTGTGGATGGAATCCATGCCTGCCATCACCATGTGCATTTCTAAAATATCACAAGTGAATGCTCCTTCTTTATCATGCTTTGTTCACCTTTAAATATTAGAATTGCCCCAGTGAGGCATTAGCGTCACCCCAAAGCACTCAACAAGTGCCTTCGCTATAATGGCAAACTGCCAGCTCAGATCAGTTTGGCAGAACCAAAAAATCTGGCTAAGTCCAACCTTTGTTTTCCAATAAGAAAAATAAAAACACATGCTCCTCACATATGGGAAGGCAAAGCTCCCAAATGGCAGAAGGAACACATTTTTAGTAGATTTGCCTTACCTGCTGCCATTCAAATCAAAACCACACTTTCCTTGACATTGTCTTTGAAACTTTATACTGTGGGTGAGGTCCTCACCCTTGCCCCTTTCAGAAAACCTTCGTTAAGGGAAAGAACTTTCTGGAAAAATAAGATACTGGGAAGAAGTAAGACGTGCAAACAAAAGTGTTCTGAAAGTTTAGCTGTTGTAGATTCTGTAAAATATACACGGGCATACAACTTATGCTAAAGTAGAAATTTCATAATAAAAAAAATCTACATGCCCTTTGTAACAGATAAATTCTCTGGTGACAAGCCTACTGAATAATCCCACAATCATCTCTTGAATCTCTTTTCAAGCCAACGTTACTATTCTGCTCATGCTAAACCAGGGCAAAGGCTGCCTCAGCAGGCAAAGCTTGACTGCAGATAAAGACAAATGCAGACAGAAAGAAGAGGAAGTTCTGCTTAACTTATGGAAAAGTATTCAAACTTCCACAACAGTACGGCAAACCGCTGGGGAAGTAGAAAACCACTCTCCGGCCCAAATCAGACTGGCAGAATTCTCTTTGTTCTAACCCAGACAGGCTGGCCTGCTGGTGAAAAGAGCTGTCAGAAGGAGAACTCTTTGCTTTGCCAAGGAAAGGTTTTCTAAATCCACCTAGAAATATTGCAGTCGAGTTCCCAGGCTTGGCTGAGTTGCTGGGACGTGATGAATATCTATTCTTCTACCCTTGGGTGGTTTTTTTATTGGATGGATAACGTAGCAAGTCAGAGTTCTGTTTGTCTTTTTGTGTCAGTGCTGTGAGGAAGCGTCCCTGAGCTGGAACCGTACTTCACTGGCCGGGGTGGGGGGTGGGGGAGGTGGGGCTCAGAACACAATGGCAAGTGGACGTGAAAACCCGTAGCTGTCATGGGGTGAGCAACCAGCAGCAGGGCTGGCAGAGGCCAAGCTGCTGCTGCCCAGAGAATGATGGGTCAATGCCAAGTCGCACACAGGCTGCCTGTTCTGGCTCTTTAGATCAGAAGTCCGCCTTTCAAGAAAAAAAAACCAAAAAACCAGCATTCTAGATACGGTTTCCTTAGTTTTTCTGTGAGATCGGCAACTGCTGGTAAGCTCAGCACGAATCTCAGAAGTCCCTGTCGGACATGACAGTGCGGCCATCTGGTTTTCTCAGGAGAATAGTGAGCTGGTGATTCCCTGACCTGAAAGCCAGAGGAAGAGCTATGCAGAAAGGCCACGCATTAGGGAGCCCCTAACTTCCTTCTCAAAGGCGACATGCAAGTGTCTGACTCAGCACTGACCTCTCCTGCGTCAGAAAGAGCGGACACCGCAGCTGCATAGCGCGTCACATCTCCTGGCCAAACATCACACTAATTGTTCTGTCAGCCACAGCTGACGCGGCAGGGACAATCAGGCCTGTCTTTCGCATAACACCAAACAGTCTTTACGGCTCTGTGACCGGGAAGCATCCTTTCCACATTTTAATAAAATCTCCCCGCAGCATTCAATTACACCCAGAGTCAATGCCAGGTCAGCTTCTGAAATGCTCACAGGAACCCTCCACCGGTCGAGGCAGGTGTGAGGCGAGGCGCAGAATCACCCCACCTTCGTGGTCTGCCTTGGGAAGGAACCCTGATTCACCCCTGCCTTGGGCCCCGGAAGCAATGTCTTTTTGCATGCTACTGTCTTTTCACAAAGGCTGTCTTGTACGTTCTGCCTTCGGAGATGACAAAACGTCAGAAGGCCATGCAGATGGAACAGGAGTGGGGCTGATTTCTCAACCACTATTCTGGTTCTAAGTCCCATACCCTTTGAACCTGATGGCAGGGCAGAAATTAGCTGGGCTATATTTAGAAGAACGAAACCTGATAGAGACAGCTGCCCAGTGGCAGACTCAAGAGAAGAGAAAACCCACAAAGTACCAGTTGAGGAACAGCTGATTATGTGGCAGGGAGTGACCTGGCAGCTAAAGGAACCCCAGACTGGCAATCAGGGCTACTGAAAAAGCTTGGAGGAGTGTATCCAGAATGTGCTCCACACAGAGATAGTGGCCAGCCCTGTGGGTAGCCGCACACGGCTGCTGCTCCTGCAGATGGTATTAACAACGAGAATACGTTTTATTTTATTATTATTTTTCCAAGATTTTATTTATTTATTTGAGGTAGAGAGTGAGCCACCCATGCACCCCACGAGAATACGTTTTAACAACAATAATAATGGGTGCTAGGCACTGTTCCAAGTGGTCTCTACATTAACTCATTTAAACTAACATTAACTCATGTAATTCTTTTTTTTAAGATTTTATTTATTTGAGCGAGAGCTGTGGGATGAGGGCCAGAGGGAGAAGCAGACTCCCTGCTGAGCAGAGCTTAACTCGCTGAGCCACCCAAGCGCCCCAACTCCTTTAATTCTTACTAACAATCCTCTGATACTAGCAGAACTCTCTCTTACAGATGAGGACACTGAGGCGTTAATTTGTTCGAGGTTACACAGCAAGAAAGCAGGAGAACTGGGATTTGACCCTCTGCGGTCTGTGCTCCTCATCTCCATGTTACACTGCCTCTGATGAAGAAAATTTCACGTTGCTGCCTTCCTGGGGATGGAGACTGAGCCCCTCGCAGTGCCAGGCACAATGTGAAGTAACCAGCTCATCAAAAGAATGCCCTTTCCCACCACTTCCATTATTTTATTTGGTACCTGCCAGCTGTTCAAAGGTTCTTCACATACTAAAAATGTTGCAAAGGCCCTTAGCAATTAACTTAGAAATTAGGAGAAAATGGCAGGTTCTCTTCCTGCCTCTGCCAACATACACCTAGACCACCTGGCACTCTCCTCTGCGGCGGGGCACACGCCGGCTCCAGATCAGGAAGGCAGACAGATACACGCCCCCCGCCCCAGGCCACAAGGAGCTTCTGGGGGACGGGATGGTGGCCAGAGTTCCCCAGGCCTCTCTTCTGTGTCCCTTCCACGCCTTCTCCTCACAGAAGGTGAGTACGCCTCAACCAAGACCCTGCCCAATTCGGAAGCACCTTTAGACCTTCCAGAACTGCCCCCACTACTGCTCACATGGTCTTAGTGTCAAGCAGATGGCACCTTACTGCATTCTAACTCTTCGGATCTGGGGACTTCATGCACTGCATTATACCCAACTGGGCAGTCGTCCCTGTGGAGGGACCAGCCGGCTGTACGGCAGACCCTGCACCTGTGGACTGAACAACAGTGGCTTCAACCAGGCGAGGCGAGGCGCCCATGTGTCATTCTGTGGAGGTACAAACGGGAACTGCTACCAGCTGCCACGTGGCAGGGGCACTGGGGCAAGCGGCCACTGAGCATCTCTGCAAATGTAAGAGGGTCCAGCATCTGTCTATCAGTGGGGCTTCTGTTGTTCCCTCTTTATTCTTGTGGGGTTTGGTCACTGTTACAAAGTGAGAAAAACAATGCAGACCCATTGCCTTTGTGAAAATAACACAGAATGCTAGTGTTGGGGTGGAAATGGAAAATAGATAGGGAGGCCTGGGTGGCGGTTCTAAGGAAAGAAAGCAGAAGTCATGGTGAGATTAAGGACGGATGCATTCAGTGGTGCTGGCTTGGATCTATGGTGTGAACGAGACTTCCCTCTGCTTTTCATGGAAATAAAAGAAGTGGCTATGGAAATCTTGCAGTGAGGGGGGAAAAAAGACCTCATCCAGAGGGGTCTTCAGTGGGGAAGAAACTAAAGGAAGTTAATAGGTGGTGTGAGAGAGCATAGGAGGCATCACTCTCACTTGAGTATGTCAGGAGGAAGCCAGAATCCTGAACCATTATGGCCACTTTGAAGAACAT